CCAAACCATTCTGGGATCCCATGATTCATTATTCTATTCTATTCTATTCTATTCTATTCTATTCTATTCTATTCTATTCACACCAGTGGAAGGGTTAGGGCCTGCTGTTGTCCAAGCCCCTCTGCCTACAAACGCTATCTCACCCCTCTCTCCCCAGCCTGTCAGTCCCATTGCCTTATGAAAGAAATAAAAGGAACATCACAGTGGTCCAAAGAGCCAGATTTAAGTAAATGGGAAATTATTATATTTGGGAAATATTTAGAAAGGTAAGAACCTCAAGGCTTCAATAACCATTGAATTACTTTCCTCTGTATTCAGTGGTTACCTTGACTGAAACAAAGAAGGGGTGCAGTGAAATTTTCCTGTAGTCAGTTTGAGCCTTTCTAATATATTTCAAAGATTGAAGAATAAACTAAAAGTAAGTAGTGTTGTAATTCAGTTCTTAATATCTCATTAAGCCTAATAAGCATGGGGGAAGGCAAAAAGAGAAAGAGATATATTCATGTTCTTTTTTTCACAAAGCTTGGAAACTAGCAATAAGCAGCTCTTACTCCTCACAGTATGTCCTTGTATGTTTCCATCTTTTCTGACTGATAAGTTTCTGATATGTTTCCATCTTTTCTGATTGATATGTTTCTGATATGTTTCCTCACACTTTTCTGATCAGTTTGTTCTGCATCGTGGAAACATTAAATCAGTATAATTTGCCTGTGTGCACAGATGTGAAGGGAAATCCTTTCTGTTCCCTCCCTTCTCCCTCTCCCTGATGCAGAACATAGAAATCAGAGGAAAAACATTGGAGAAAATAAGTGAATGGCAGCAAACCCAACACAGCTGGAGGGCTGGGGGTAGCAGCAATCTGAACAGGAGGGAGAGCAGACACAGAATTCAGAGAACAGCTTCAGGAAAACACACGTCCTAGAACAGCTTTGAAAGAAACATTTGGTTAAGATTTAAGAATTTAATCACTTCATGTTAATTACTGTTAATGGCAAGATTAAAAATAATAAAAGCAATTTATCTCATTCCAAAATAATTAGCTTTAATGACATGTTTGTACAGCACACAGAAAGACATTTTGATGGGGATCAGCCCAACATCTGTGTGTGCATAGCATATATAACAGCAATAGGTCTTTGTAAAATGCCTGACAGATGTGAGATCATCAGCTTTGTTGAGACTTTTCCAAGGCTCCAGGGATGTGAGCACCAACTTACTCTGATACTCTGCAGGGTCTGCAGGTGCTCATGTTTCTGAAAATGAGGGTTGTTTTTCTCTATTCTCCCTTACGTGGTATTAGCCCTGCTCTGCACCTTGAGAAACAGGAGAGATGTTACGGGACTTCATCAAGATGATTAGGGAATCGCTGTTGGCCTCGTCACTCATGGGAAGTTTTATGCAGGTTTCCCATCCTGCTTGACTCCTCTGTATCTCATGTTTGAGTAATAACGCTCTCCTGCTGGCTGATAAGTGGCATTAATTCCCTTTGGGACTGTTGTGAAGTCGTTTAGCTGGTGTGTAACTCAGTTTTTTTCAAGCGAGGAAAAGTTAATAGAGTTCTTGCTGTTGTTTGTGCTCAGTCGTTACAGCACTCAGTCGAGTCGCTGGTGACACAGACTGGAGGGTACAAGTGTGAAGTGGTTGTGTTTTCTCATCCAGGTGTCTTGAGTAATTGAAGCCACCTCCACAGAAATCTTGCTGAGTAAAAAAGGGCAAAATATTATTAACATCATTATGCCTCTCATAAACTCTAATGAGCAGTAAATGCACTGGGAAGGGTAATGAGTCCAGGTGAGTGTTACCTATGGAGATCCCTGATTGAATAGCTCTGCTTTAACAATTCCTTTGTTAATGACTCTGACTTGTGCATTTGTTGCCATCTTGGCTACTGCTGTAGGGATGATAGTTGGATTATCTCTTTCACCTGGGTAGTCTAAGTGACGTGAACTAGCCCTGCTGGCTACCACATAGACTATTTCTCTACATTTAGCTCTTTAACAAATGAATGTTGCAAAGCAAGGGGTGAAGCCTTTTTCCAGTTATGCACCTCCTTCAAATCCAAATGCCTCCAGTGACGGCTGAGTAAATCACCTCTTGACAGCAGGCTCAGCACACACCTTCCTGCTTTCTTCAAGCTATGCAGAACAAGCTTGAAGCATGGGGTTAGCTGATGCAGGGCGTAGTCTCTGTGCTGATGGAGAGCAAAGCTGTGGTTCCCTTGCAAGTTGTTTTTGAGTGGAGGTGTCATTTGCTGCACCTGGATAAGTCATGTGGAGGTCTCTTAATTGGTGGTGGGGCTTTGGGCTGTTAGGCCTGAGCAGAATGAAGCGAGCTAGATGTGTGAGGGTGCTGCTCTTACCCCCATCTTTGTGGTGCTCTGACAGCTCCGGGCTCAGGATCTTTGCTCGGTTTCTATTGGGGATATTAGCCTTTGTCTTCTGGAGTGCTGCTGCCCCTATGGCCTTTGGTGGAGTTTTTGTCATCCAGATGTACAAGAACTACAGTTATTTATTTCAGGAGTCTTTCTTGTTTCTCCCTGGATGGTTGGCTGTTGCAGCTGCACTTATCTTGCTACCTACTGGAGTTTTGGCGATCTGCGTTTCTGTTAAGGGCTCCCGCTATTGGCAAGGGGCTCTTCTGCTGATCCTTTTTTGCCTAGAAATGTCTTTGGCGGTTCTGGCACAGTTCTACACTACTCAGATGCCTTCCAAGATGAAAAGGACTATGGGTTACCTCGTCCAGCAGTACAAGGGGCCGCACTCCCAGGATCCTGGCAGCAGGGCTGTGGATGTGGTACAGAGGGAGCTGCAGTGTTGTGGGGTTGAAAACTACACAGACTGGCTAAAGGCAGAAGCTGCTTCTTGGCATCTTCCAGCTGAAGACACCTGTGTCCCTGAAAGCTGCTGTAAGGAGAAGTATTCTCAGTGCAGGCGTGACCTAGGCCATCTGGAGCAACTCTTTCAGGAAGGCTGTCTAAAGAAGCTGGAAGACCACTTGCGTTTTGTGATGCTCTACGTGTTTTCGTGCTGTACCGGGCTAAGCGTCTTAGAGCTGTTGGCTGGTGTAGGCAATGGTATCCTCATGAAGCATCAGCCTCTCTGTGACTTCCGAATTCTGGAGTCGTCTACATTCCCATAGGCTTGCGAACGCTGGCAGCACTGCTGGACCTGTTGTGTGTTTCCTTGGTTTTGTGCCACTCTGCAGTTGCACTAGAAAAAAAGTTTATATTTTTTTTTTAAGTACATTTGCATGTAAATTGAACTTATTGATCACTGCTGGATATTTTTTTTTCTTTTAATGTTACAATATTATCTCAGTTTCCTCAATGGGGATTTTTTTTTTTTTGATACGGGATGTTTAAACTTCTTTTTTGTATGTCACAGCAGGGAAGTGAGGGTCTTCAGCATGTGCGGACACAAAACTACTGTATGTGAGTGTGGGAGAAGCAGAAGGCAGAGGTATGTCTTGCTCAGGGGAGCATGTTGTAAGGTCATGACCTGAACTTTTGGAATAAATCTTAACTGTGCTAGAATCTTGGAGAGTAGTTGAAGAGTACATTCCTCCACATTCACACTTGTATTTAACAGTCTGGTATTCCTAGAAGAAGCTCTTTGGATAAAGCTGAATGGTGGTGGTGGTTTTTTTTGTTTGGGGTTTGTTTTTTTTTTTTAGTTTTTCTCCTTCAAACTATGGATTAGAAGTAACTTATCTTTTAGTGAAAGTATACTAGTATTTGAAGTGGCGTGAGGATGCAATGTAAATGAGGAAGATGTTTTTAACAGCAGCAGAGTAGCTAATAAGGTGTCATACAGCAGGAGGTATAGTTATCTCGGGAGTTGCAGAGGAGCAATTACCAAATTAAAGAGGGAGAAGAAAGTCTGTAGTTATTGACTTATTCTGTGTCAAAGTAAGGAAGCAGTTAATTGTCGTTTCTTGAAAAGTTATGATGGGTCACATGCATGCTTGAATGGCAACAGCGATATGCTGCTTTTTCTTAAGTTCTGTTTGCCCTACTCTTAAAAAGATCCTCCTCTTACCCAATTTCTGCGGTTCTCTCTAGCCTGCGTGTGCTGAAGTGGGCTAAGTCAGCGTATGGGGTATTCATGTTCTTGTTCGTGTCAGTGCTGTTGGTGTTTAGGGAGGAGCTGGTAAAGGCTCTGGTACAAGTGCATCTTGTTAGGCTTTACTAGACTGGGAACAGGAAAACTGCTTGGGTCACAAAAACCACTGGACTAGGCAACTCCCTTAGCACTTGAAGCAACAGACAGCTAAATCATTACTGCTTTATACTTTCTACCAAATTCAAGGTACTTCATGACAAATTTCAGACCCTAAATCACCAGATAATGATTTTCATTGGGGGGAAAAAAAGGAGAATAAGAGGACACAGGTATATATAGTAAGCCTGCATGAGCTGACCTATGTGAAATCATGAATTATACCTCATGGCTGATGAGTTCTTCCAACAAAGGAGGAATGTTCCAAAGCAAAAAAGGGAAATACTGTGTCTTTGAGTAACGTAATAGAAGGAAAAATTTCTTTCAGTTTGCTTGACATGGAATGCATGTAACGGTGAATAAAATTTGTCCAGTTAAGCAACACAGTTGAGTCTTTATGGCTTTGTGGTACCCTGGCATATACATGTTTTGTGATACAAAGTTATTTCTACGGCATGACAAAGTTGCAATGAAACTGAAGTGAGAGCAACGGGCCCAGGAAAAAACTGGGTTTTCTGAAGAAAGAAATGTGGAAGCGTGGAGTGGATATAATGCCTCTTTACCACCTACCTTTCTTAAGGAGGATGTTTTTCTTCTCAGATCAACTCTTATCCCGTAAAACTTCCTTCACAGGTTCTGAGCCAGAATGTCTTAAAGAGGGGAATACCTGTGTTTTTCACTACTAAGTGGAAAAAAGCAATTTCATGTTAGTTAAAGAGGAGAATTACTAATGTGGATTTCCTTATCCACTCCACAGTCCTCCTACAGTTCAGGTCATGCATGGTTCACTCTACTTTTATTCTACTAAGAAAATTATAAGTAAAATATGAAATTAAAAAGAAAATCTTCATGATTTAACTATAAGAAACTACTTTTAGGCATTGTTTTTTCTCCTGAATACTAGATGTGCTTTTGGAAGATCATATCTTAAACCTGGTAAAAAACCCCGTGTCTACTGATGGTTGTCGGTAGAAAACTTCTAGACAAACCAACAGATATTATTACCCCTTTCTGCTTGTGTTGACTTGGGCAATTTAGTTATGAATACTTCTGGATGGGGTAACTTCTTCTGAAATAAAAATGGTGTTATTTTTAAGCAGCTGCAGTGTATTTCTCTGTTACAAAATATATAAGTCCTTGGGTACTATTGTGATCTATACATTGAATGCTTCATCCTGAAAAGATATGGAAAAAGGGGAAACATAACCCCC